GCAGGGGTGGCGAGAGGCTGGGGGGGCAGCGGGGCCGTGCCTCTGACCCCCCGCTCTCCCTGCACAGAGCCAGGCCTGGCAGTGGGCGAGTGGGAAGGAGTACAGTGCCGCCAGCCAGGTGCCCGGGAACGGTGCCCAAGGGGGGAGCTGCGCCGTGCTGACCCATCACAGCAGTGAGTGCCCGCTCCCTGCAGCCACCCCCGGCCTTCCCCCGCCCCCCGGTGCCATCCCCTCGGTGGGCACGGCTGGTGCTCGCCCCCGCCAGCCCCCTGCTTGTGTCTCCCGCAGGTTTCTCCGTCTGGGCCAGTTCCGAGTGCTCGCGAAAGCATCACTACATCTGCAAGTTCTACCCCTTGCACTGAGTGCAGCCCTGGCCCCCGCGGGACCCTGCGCCGTTCCTCCCGCGCCACCTCTGACTCCCCGCAACTCCTATAAAAAAATCTTATAAAAAATGAAGCATGAGAGTGCTGTGTGAGCTTGGTGCTGATGCAAAACCTGGGCTGGGCCGTGAGAGACAGAGAGACGAGCTCTGCCGCGGCTCCCCGAGCTTCCCGGCTTCCAGAAGCTTCTGCGCTGCAGGTGCGGGCGGAGCTGTTCGGGGATGTGTCCCCAGCCAAATAGCACAGGAGACTGTGCGGGGCAGGCGGGGGGGACAGGAGCATCCCCGGAGTGCACACGGCTGGCACACGGCTGGCTGGGGGACGGGAGCTGCCGTGGGCACGGGGACAGGCGGTCCCCAGGTGCACACAGCTCCACAGGGACAGCGCGACCAAAGGTCCCTTTTGTGTCACTGCTGTGTTGCCACAGGCATCACGTGGCTGTTTGCTCTGTTGCTTTGAAGACGGCTCTGCCCTCACCCAGCTGATGAGGTTTTGCTCCCCCCCGAGCACGTGTCGGACGCGGAGCGCAGCCCGGGCAGCGCGGATGTGCCGGCACCGGAGCCGGGCCGCCCTCTGCTCCCGGCCGGGGCCGCACAGTGACCGCAGGGCCCGGGAGACCCGGCACCGGAGCTGCCACAGCCCCGGGACAGCCCCGTGTCCCCAGGCTTTGGGGCACGAGGCGAAGACACCCCGAGTGCTCCCCCCTCCGAAACCCCGCTGCCCCTGCCGTGTTGGCTGGCGCTCGGTGACCTTTGAGCGCCAGGGTCCGGCAGGCTGATAAAGGCCGGGAGGGCTGTGCCGAGCTGCCCACGCAGTTTATAAAAGCACTACGCAAAGCCCGTCCCGCTGTCCATCTGTCCGGCCGGCCGTGCCTTCGTCCGGCGAGGATGTTGCGCTTGGTCGGGCGCGCCGTGCGCTGCTGGGGGGCCAGGTGGGCGCGGCCGGGGCCGGAGGGGGCACCCCGAGGTGCCCAGCATCCCCCGGCTTGGCAGAGGGCATGGTGAGCATCCACGTGGGTCAGGGGGGCTGGGGACATAAGCAGGGTGAGGGTGGGGAGCTCTTAGACTTTGGTGGGGAAGGGGAGCCTCCCCCTCCTTGGTGCAGCACCGCCAGGATCTAGCAGGAATTTGGAATGCTCCCAGCCTGGGCATCTCCCCAGGGCCACCCTCTGTCCCCAAGGCTGCCGTGGGACTGTTGCCACTCCCTCTGTCCCACAGCCTCTCCAGTGCTGCTGGGACAGGTGCCTGGCCCAAGGACGTGGGCATCCTGGCCCTGGAGGTGTACTTTCCTGCCCAGTACGTGGATCAGGAGGAGCTGGAGAGGTTTGATGGCGTGGAGGCCGGCAAGTACACACGGGGCCTGGGCCAGAAGCAGATGGGTTTCTGTGCTGCCCACGAGGACATCAACTCCCTGTGCCTGACCGTGGTGCAGCGGCTGGTGGAGCGCGGGCGCCTCTCCTGGGACGCCATCGGCCGCCTGGAGGTGGGCACCGAGACCGTCATCGACAAATCCAAGGCCGTCAAGACCGTCCTCATGCAACTTTTCCATGACTCTGGCAACACCGACGTGGAGGGCATCGACACCACCAACGCCTGCTACGGGGGCACGGCCTCGCTCTTCAACGCGGCCGCCTGGGTGGAGTCCAGTGCCTGGGACGGTGAGTGCAGGCAAGGACGTGCCGTGGGGCTGGATGCTGGCTGGGTGCCATGGGATGGGGGAAGGAGGCAGAAGGTGGCCTGAAGCCCAAAGATGCTCCAACTGCACCTCCAGGCTCTCTCCCTCACCCCTGCTTCTTGCCCGTCTTGGTGTGACACCCGGCAGTGTGGAGTTGGGAACGCATGAGGGCAGTGGGATGGAGTCTTCCAGCCTCTGGTGGCCCAGCCAGTGCCTCTGTCCTCCCTCAGGTCGCTACGCTGTGGTGGTGTGTGGGGACATCGCTGTCTACGCCACGGGGAACGCGCGGCCCACGGGAGGTGCCGGTGCCATCGCCATGCTGGTGGGACCCAACGCCCCGCTGGTGCTGGAGAGAGGTGGGCATCACGAGACCCTGGGGGTGGTGAGCTGATGGCTGCTGTCCCTGGGGGCTGTGCATCCACGTCCCAGCCCTGGGCAGAGCTGCTCAGCCAGACCCTGGAGGGGTCTGCTGCCTGGCTACATCGCTGTGGGCACCATGGAGTGACTCGGGGAGGCTGCTGGGCTCCAGGGGTGGCCTTGGCTGTTTGCCACAGAAGGCTGGGACCTCTCTGACAGCTGGCTCTCCCCTGCCCCCAGGCCTGCGTGGAACCCACATGGAGCACGCCTACGACTTCTACAAGCCGAATCTGTCCTCTGAGTACCCAGTGGTGGACGGGCAGCTCTCCATCCAGTGCTACCTGCGGGCGCTGGACCGCTGCTATGCCGTGTACCGACGGAAGGCGGAGACCCAGTGGCAGGAGGGTGAGTGGCAGCGCCCCTGAGGTGCCCATGGCAGCCCCCTGGATACTGATGGCCCCGTGTTGCCTCCCAGCTGGCATCCAGAGGCCCTTCACCCTCGATGAGTTCAAGTACATCATCTTCCACTCGCCCTTCTGCAAGCTGGTGCAGAAGTCGGTGGGGCGGCTGCTGCTCAACGACTTCTTGGCCTCCCCCAACCCCGACACAGCCTCCGGCCTCTACAAGGGGCTGCAGTCCTTCCGGTGGGTCCCTGCACCGTGTCCCCCGTCCCTCAGCCCAGCCAGGGAAGCGCTGGCCTGGGGTTCCAGCTGTTCTCTCTCTGGGCAGCGGTGTGAAGCTGGAGGACACCTACACCAGCAAGGAGGTGGAGAAGGCATTCCAGACAGCCAGCCAGGACATCTTCAACAAGAAGACCAAGCCCTCCCTGCTCCTCTCTTCCCGCAATGGCAACATGTACACACCGTCCATGTATGGCTGCCTGGCCTCCCTCCTGTCCCAGTGAGTTCCCCAAAACACTGGCTTGGAGAGAGGGAGGAGGTCATTTTGGGGAGGGCTCTCCCTGGCTGGATAGAGGGGCAGAACTCATCTCCCAGCCCTCATCTCCCCCTGCCCCAGCAGGGACCTGATCCTTTCATCGCACACAACCCCCGGTGTGGATGCATCCTGCTGCAGGCCATCTCCCTGCCAGACTTTTCATCCCAGCGTGCTGGAGCTGGGCCAGTGCATAAAGCCCTCCTGTCATCACCAGGAGGATGAAAACCCCTGTTGTCATGCCCAGTAGAATGAGTGACCCCATGGGAAAAGAGTCATGGGAACAGACAGGCCCTGAGGGGAACGAAAGCCTTGTCCTGGGACTCCCTGGCATCACTGCACTCCAGAAATGTGGCCCCAAATCTGTCTGCCTACAAAGCCCCCTGCACTGCCCCCACAGCCCTGTATCCCCACCTCCCCCTCAGCCCAAATATCCTCTACCCCCCTCCCCTCTCTCTTCAGGTGCTCAGCACGGGACCTGGCCGGCTCCCGGATCGGCGCCTTCTCCTACGGCTCGGGGCTGGCCGCCAGCATGTTCTCCTTCCGTGTCTCGCAGGATGCAGCCCCAGGTGAGACTCAGGGGTAGAGGGGCTGGGAAGGGAGGGCGGCGTGGGGCTGTCCGTGGTGCCAGCTCACACGTGGGCTGCTCATTGCCAGGCTCACCCCTGGACAAGTTGGTCTCCAGCCTGGCTGACCTGCCCGCCCGCCTGGACTCCCGCAAGCGCGTGGCCCCGCAGGACTTCGCCGAGATCATGAAGCGACGGGAGGAAACCCATCACTTGGGTGAGTGGGGCTGGGAGGGATGTGACCCTGCCCTTTTGGGACCCCACAGCACCCCTGAGCATCACTGCTCTCCCTGCAGCCGACCACGCTCCCCACGGCTCCCAGGCGGATCTCTTCCCTGGAACCTGGTACCTGACGCGGGTGGATTCCAAGTACCGCCGCGAATATGCCAGGAAACCCATCTAGAGTGGGATCACCGGAGTGGTGAGCCCTGGGGAGGGAGATGCTCTCTTTCCCGCTGTCATCCCTGTTCTTTCCCTGCATCCAGGGAACATTTCCGTGCGGGAAAGTTCACTTTGCATGGGTGGGGAATGGCCAGCAGTGCCTCGGCCCCAGAGCTGTTGGAGACGGCGGCATCTTCTGCAAACATCGGAGCAGTGCAGGGGAATAAAGGTGCAGATGGGAGGGGGCAGCAGCCCAGCTCTGGCTTCTGGTCTTGGTTGGTCTCCTCTCACCCCAGGCCCCTCCCAGTTAACAGCCACCGGTCTGGCTCACAGCTGCTTACGGGATTTACTCCACAGCCACATGCCCTGTTAGACGTGGGATTATGCCCTGACATTTTGGGGAGTCAAGTAAGCCCCAACCTCCCAGTCACCAGTTTAGGGGGGGGCAAGATGGCATTTTTCCCGTGATGTCATTAAATTGAAACGTCCTCGTGGCAAAACCCGTGGCCAGGAGGGCACTGGTGGTGCAGTGGCTCACGGGAGGGCTCATGCCCCGTGCAGTGCTGCTCTCTGGGCCGTGTCCCAACACGGGACTGTGGCCAGACAGGACCTCAGCAGCCACAGGGACCTTTGCACCCTTCAGCAAACAGCAGCAGGAGGGAGGGGGTTTGGGGTTGAGGACAAAGGACCGCACAGACAAGGCAGCACCTGCTCTCTCTTTCCAGACCTTTTATTGAACATGGGGCCACCCCAAACCCAGAGTGGGGGTCAGGGATAGCCATGTGCAATGTTCCCCTGGCTGGGGGAGGGTCCAGATGCTGTGGCTGTGGGGAAAGTCCTTGTTGGCAGTCAGGGTCTACAGCAGGTGGAGCTGGAAGATTTCCGTGACACGAGGCTTCAGCTCGCCGAGGTTGGACAGGGGGGCTGAGAGCCCCACGATGCTCCACTGCTCCCCTGACACCTTGCTGGAGCTGTGGTAGGACAGGAGCTGGCCCCCTGCCTTGCTCAGCAGCCCTGGAGAGGAGGACAGGAATTAGGGAGCACCTCCCTGTCCCACATCCATCCATCCATCCATCATCCATCCGTCATCCATCCATCCATCCATCATCCATCCATCATCCATCCATCATCCATCCATCCATCATCCATCCATCCATCATCCATCCATCATCCATCCATCCATCCATCCACCCATCCATCCATCCATCCATCCATCCATCATCCATCCATCATCCATCCATCATCCATCCAGCCATCATCCATCCATCATCCATTATCCATCCATCATCCATCCAT